TGATATTCCAATATCCCACGTGATCGTATCTACATTTTGTTGTGAGGTTAGAATGAATTAGAATAGAATTAGAGGTTAGAATAGAATGAATTAGAATGAAATTATTCATCCAAATAGAACCACCACTTCTTCAGTGGACAAATCCATTTTAATGTACAATATTTATGTGAAATAAGCTTTTATTCGCATGTTACCGCGATAATGTTAACATAAACAGACACAACCCTATTGTTTCTTAAGCCTATGCTTTCATTTGATTCGCTGTACGTAAAATAATATTGTTCCTTATTCTACTTTATAAACACCCCATTAGGCGTTATTCTTATGCTTTCAGCCTTATCCTTATTCTCGTTTATAAACCCACCATTAAATAACAGCATGATATATTTGATTCGCATTTAAATCAAAATTAAATCGACCTCTAAAGACATTTTACCCTGATCAAAGCGTTTATTGATCAATCATACACTAGATATTCTTTTCTGTTTGCTGTACTTCTGCATTCGTTCTAAAATAGCAGAAGCTTTGCCAAAACTTAATAATTTTCCAAATTAATAATGCATTATCTTATCTGCTCATATCAACAGAAGCAATCATTTTGTCGCTTGTTTCTCTTCGGAAATTTACTACTTTGTCGTACAAAATTCGTCCAAAAAACAATAATGTGTTTTTCTCGTCAACGAAACCGGCGAAGTAACTTTTGAGCTCAAAATCGTGTTTTTATTTGAATTTAGAAGGTTTTGTGCAAATTCATCTTGTCGCTTGCTTCTCTTCGGAAATTTAACTTTGTCGTACAAAATTGGTCCCAAAAACAACAATGTGTTTTTCTCATCAACGAAACGAGCTAAGTAACTTTTGAGCTCAGAATYGTCGTTTTCATTGGAATTTAGAAGGTTTTGGCAAATTCATCTTGTCGCTTGCTTCTCTTCGGAAATTTAACTTTGTCGTACAAAATTGGTTCCAAAAACAAAAATGTGTTTTTCTCATCAACGAAACGAGCTAAGTAACTTTTGAGCTCAAAATCGTGTTTTTATTGGAATTTAGAAGGTTTTGTGCAAATTCATCTTGTCGCTTGCTTCTCTTCGGAAATTTAACTTTGTCGTACAAAATTGGTTCCAGAAACAAAAATGTGTTTTTCTCATCAACGAAACGAGCTAAGTAACTTTTGAGCTCAGAATCGTCGTTTTTATTGGAATTTAGAAGGTTTTGTGCAAATTCATCTTGTCGCTTGCTTCTCTTCGGAAATTTAACTTTGTCGTACAAAATTCGTCCAAAAAACAATAATGTGTTTTTCTCGGCAACGAAACAAGCTAAGTAACTTTTGAGCTCACAGTCGTGTTTTTATTGGAATTTAGAAGGTTTTGTGCAAATTTATCTTCTCGCTTGCTTCTCTTCGGAAATTTAACTTTGGCGTACAAAATTGGTCCAAAAAACAAAAATGTATTTTTCTCGTCAACGAAACCGGCGATGTAACTTTTGAGCTCAAAATCGTGTTTTTATTGGAATTCAGAAGGTTTTGTGCAAATTCGTCTTGTCGCTTGCTTCTCTTCGGAAATTTAACTTTGTCGTACAAAATTGGTTCCAAAAACAAAAATGTGTTTTTCTCGCCAACGAAACGACGTAAGTAACTTTTGAGCTCACAATCGTCGTTTTTATTGGAATTGGGAAGGTTTTGTGCAAATTCATATTGTCGCTTGCTTCTCTTCGGAATTTAACTTTGTCGTACGTTATTTGAACTTGGTCTAAAAACAAAAATGTTTTTTGTACTACTTCTTGTACAAACTAGTTCTAAATTTTTCGATAGTTAATTGAAGATTTTACTTCTAAAATGTTTCGATAGTTAATTCGAGACTTTTACTTCTCAAATTTTTCGATAATTAATTCGAGACTATTTCTTTCTCGGGAATTTCACCCAAAATTAAAATTTAATAATAACAATATTAGTTTTTCTATAATCCTGCCAGATCAAACTGAACCGTTATACAAGGTTGAATTGAGAATAACGAGGTTTTGTAACAGAGTCGTATTTTTTTTGTAAATTTTTATTATTTTTCATCTGGGAGACTTTGTATGTTTCCGGTTATACAAAAGAAATATTTTTCGATTAGCTATCGTCGATTCCGTGTGGTTTGCATGGTGTTCCTCTCACTTCGACCGGGGCATAACGACGAGGATTATTCAATTATTTCAATTCACTTTCTCTATATTGACTTATTTATTGTTGAAAAATGCGTTTAATATCGGCATTCGAAAATTGTTTGCTTGAAAATAAGGAAAATGCTCCATGAAAATTCCTTCAACTTTCAACGGCATTTCAGTTACAGTGGCGCTGAAGACCAATCATTTTTGTTTAACACCTCGTAGCTTCTTTAACTTGAATGTTTGGGAAAAGTGGTGCTTGTTTAAAAATTAAGCTAATCGTTTTGAGCTGCATCTTGAAACTAAAAATCAAGTTAAAGTCGCCCTGTTTGGATAGTAAAGCGTGTTGGATCGGAAGCTAAGTGAATTGAGCCGAAAAATTGTGAAGTTTTGCGAAACTATAAATGTTTTAAAACTGTCCCTCCCTATAGTTACAAATATGAATACTTTGAAAATCCACTGTGTCCACTTTCCTCAAAGACATATTAAGTTCAACATTGTTCTAAATAATTTCTTTAGCGAATTTTTGTATGTGTAGCAACATAAATAACAAATATTTTTATAGTTTTTTTCGGTTCTGTCCCGTTTATTATACAGGGTGTCCCGTAAGCACAGGACCAAAAGGGTACTGCAATATTCTTTGAATCAAAAGAAGACGATCTGACCTAACTTTTATTAACAAAAAATGTCAAAGTTCTTCAGTAAATTTATCTGTTTTGAAATATCGGGAAATATGTTAAAATGGTACGATGTATTTTGGTGAGACACGCTGTGAATGTGTTCTTATACAAGATTCATAATTTGATTAAACAATCGAGTTTATCCGTAGTTACATATACAAGTGGAGAATTCTTGAGGGTCGTGATGCAAAAACTACCAGAACTTTTTATTTCGTGGATGAAATCAACTCATTTTTTTTGGTTGATGCACTAATCATATGTTTACCATTTTGTGCTCTTGGTAAAATCTTGTAGCATTCATAATTTTTTCGCAAAAAAAGATGTCTGTTTTGTCTGTCTGTTAGCAGAGGAGCCAGACCGCTTTTGTTAATAAAGTTAGGTCAAATCGTCTTCTTTTGGTGCAAAGAGTATCGCAGTATCCTTTTGATCATGTGCTTACGGGACACCCTGTAGAATATAAAGTATGTAAGAAATATGATCTGCAGAACATATTCTGTTGCCTATTATTAGACACAATAATATGATTTTTTTAAATTTAGCTCATCCCCGTCTTACATTACACTCTTGTATTCAACATTGATTCAGGATATGATCATTTTTTAATTTTTTATTGCTGAAAGAGTTAAAAATAATTTGCCAAAAAAGATCCCGGTGTATTTCGTAACTGCCGAAAAGAATTTTGGTAATCACAATTTAAAAAAATATAACGTTATACATTGAATTCAATTTAATTTTTTTAAATTACAAAGGCTCATTGTGCTCATGTGTATTTTAAAGTAGCTGAATAAGAAGATGGTAAAAAATAAAGACATGGATTTTTCCACCAAATCACACGAAAAGTTTATACAAGGTGGTGCTCAACTAATGTGACGAAATTCAATGACATTGTTTATGCAAAAATAAGGTGTTTTGGGCAAATTTGCCTTATCCCAGTTTTCGAGGTACAGGGTGTCAAAGTGTAACCAAAACAATTTTTTTGGGGTCAGTCAAACGGAAAATTCATCGAGAAATCCAGATTTGGAATTTCTTAGCTTGAAGTTCCTAAGTGAACGTTAGTTCTGGAGCCATTGAAAACTTCACACATATTTTGGGTTCTAAATTATCGATTTTTGTTGCCAATATCTCATACTCTCTTACTAAGATAAAATGTGTACTTGGTTCAAGTCGATGTCTCCCAGGGTTTTCGAGATATTTCACGTTGAAACCTCTAATGATTTATTCAAATTTAATCTTTAATATTGTCATTTTTGAAGCGGAACATGAACAAATCTTGTTTTGCTGTGAGCTGACTGCTAAAGGAACTATTTTAATTTCTACTATTACATTGAATTTATTGAAAATGCCTCGATATGGTTTGTGTTTATGTGCAAGAGAATTTCAAAAGCTGCAGAAGACTTCCGAAACGAAAATTATTTGTTTTTCCGTACGACAATAATTTATTAAATTCTTTGTTTTAATTATAAATAAATTATTATGTTTTTGTTTTATTGGAAATTTGAGCAGATTATTGCTGTAATTTACATACTAAGATCAAATTTGAGGTAAAAAAATTACTTAAGGTTTCAATGTGACAAATCTCGAAAACGGCAAGAGTTATCGAATTGAACCTTTGACTGACTTTAGGAAACATTGGAAAACGAGATTTTTAAAGCCTGAAAACGCTCTGACGCTCCAACAGCAAGCCACAAAATGGGAAATTTGAGTTCCCGGATCTAGTAAAACTGGTTAAGAATTTATTAAAAAACCGCGAAAATTTGTTTGCAATATTTATGCCCAAACTATGTGCCAGTGATTAGTGAATTTTGCCACATTGAGGACTACCCTGTTTCGAGCCATCCTCAAAAATATTGTTGGAACAAGACAGATCAATTTGGCCCTTGTCTGTCGTATAACTTTTTCGGTTATTTTTGCCCTTTTCCGCGGAAATTTTGAAATCACAATTTAATTTTCTCGATTGTCAGTCTGCTGTAAAACTTGGTGGAAATATTAACATTTATCTTAATAATAACTAATTTGTTCACTAAAAAATGTTCTTTTCAACCATTTATGCATTATGCAGAGACACTCCTAAATTCCCCCCAGTGTTATGAGCGGTATAAAAAAATGTTTAGTCCTTAACAGTCATTTTTGATCTGATTGTATCTATTTGCTGAAATCTAATTGTATAAATTTTCTTTGCAGCAGCTGCTTGATCGTTAATCGACCCGCTATCCAGGGCTATTGTGATGTTAGAGTAAGTGTACTCATCGACACGAAATTATGAGCATATCAGTGACAAACGGGCGTCTCTACCATGAAAATATCAGTGATTTCCCTTGCAACGATTTCGAGGGATGCGATTTGGGATTCTGCAAAGTCGGCAGGCTCCTTTCTCACTATCGAGCTGAGATAGGAGCTGTCAAGAACGGTCTCCCTACTAAGAATGCCATTTTGGGCTGTCCAAGTCCTGATCTATTATTGCCCGCATTGGATGAAACCGATTTTCCAACTAGTAACTTGTCTCTTGATGAAGCGGAGAAATTAATAGAATGCGTCTATTGTTCATTCGGATTTTTCAGCCTATTGGGAAAGATGTGGAAGTTCGAACCCAGTTTTTTTGATATCGATCCGTCACATTTATTTGCATATTTAACCAACGTTTGTAATGAATTCGGAATCGACACGATGTTTGTGGACTGTTCTACGCTGGAAAAATGTATTGAAAACTCGTCTCAGAAAATTTGTAAAAAGCGGGACATCCTTCTCAATAACGAGCCATCACCCAACATCTGCATGTGGTCTAGCCCAATTGTTCCACGGGCTGAAGAACTATGGGAGTCACTTTTGAGTCTGCCATGGAAAATGCCGAATTCGGAGAGCCTGATAAAAAATGTTGATTCGTTTCTTTCAGAAATGAAAAATGAAATTGAGAAAAAAAAATCAGTTGAGATCGACGACGTTTTCGCACGAATAATAGCCAATCATGCGCCGCGAAGTGCCGCAGAGGAAGACGCGGATGTGCAATGGGAGCTGTTACAATACGAATACGCGTACGCAGCAGCGGGGTTACCTTTGCTTAAGACGGATGATGAGGATGAAGAACCACCGGTGAAAATTAGAAAACCGAAAAATAAAAGGAGAAGAAGAAGAAATGCAAATAATAAAAGGAGAAAGGTGGAAGTGCCTATCAAAGTTCCAATCGTAGAGCCAGAAAAAGATTTACCGTTGGATAAACCACGCACAGAGTCAGCAATCGGTTTAAGCTGGGAGGATTTCGAAATCGGAATGTCGCAATTACCACCATGCGATTTGATAAACTTGGATATGTTTTCCCCAGAGTCGCAAGATGAGATAGAAGTTGGAGACTTGTTAGGTGAAGATGAGACAAAGGTTAGAGACGTGTCAGGTGAAGATGAGACAAAGGTTAGAGACGTGTCAGGTGAAGATGAGACAAAGGGTAGAGACGCCTCAGGTGAAGATGAGGCAAGGATTAGAAACGTCTTAGGTTTAGATGTGACAAAGGTTAGAGACGACTCAGGTCAAGTTCTTACAAAGGAAGGAAAGAAAAAATTCATGGAAAAGGTCTGGATCAATTACGCAACTGCCAACGATCACAGCTACGTTAAGGCCATCGAGCTGCCAACATATAATATGGCGAGCTACGGAGTCGATACACCATCGGACTCAGGTGAGTTTTCATTTTTTTCTGTTCTTTTGAGGTACAAGATTGTTGCTCTGTGTGGGTTTAATATAGAGGGTGTTATTTCTTATAAGTGTTTTATGACGAAACAGCCCTATTTTGCTTATTTGAATCGATTCCAAACAATTATTTTCATACATATCAGCAATCCTGTATACAAGGTGTCCGTACGCACATGATCAAAAGAGCACTGCGACTTTTGTTGACTCGCATGAACTTATATGACCTAACTTTAATGAAGAATCAATATGCGTGTGTTGGTCAGTGTTGATTTTAATGAGAATCGCTTGGATTTGCTTCTATGTTAATGAAAATTTCATGAAGCAACCCAGTTCATTCGCTTTGGGCAATTTTTGGTGAATTCTTGAGTGTTTTTCTGCAAAACCACCTTGCACTTTATTTTGTTGCTGAAATCACCTGATTTTTTTTGAGTTGATACACTAGTCCTTTTTTGCCTATTTGCACTATTTGTAAAATAGTGTACCATTCATAGTTCAACAAGCTATTGCTATTCAACAATTTAAGACATTAAATGCAAATGTCGCAGTAAGCAATCATGTTCTTTTAAAACACATTTTTATCAAGCGTTTTATAATTTTCAACTATACAATTCTTAAGCTGGTCGTCTCTGGGAAGCGTTTTCGTCAGAGTTGCGTTCCTCAGAAAAGGCGAAAGCAGCGAGCTTTTCGGCAAGAAAACTGAAATATTTAAAAACTCATTGCTGCATCAAAAATATCAAAAATTGATTAGTGAGTGCATCACATCAAAAAGAACGAGTTGATTCCAGCTAGCTACGTGAAGTGAAAAGTTCTGGTTTTTGTTCAGAATTCACCACTTGCCCAAGGCGAGTCTTCACACTTCAAACTTACAAAGTCTTAGCGAGTTTCATTAAAATCCATCGAATCAGGCCGTTATTTCAAAAAAGTTAATTTTTTTTTGAGAAAGTTTTGTTACGTCAGTTTCTCCAGTTTAGAGAAAAAAAATGTTCCAATTCCCCTTTTGGTCGTGTGCTTACCGAACACTCTGTAGATTAAACAAGTTTTGTGCATGCAGGTTATTACCAAATTTTCGATTTATCGTAAACCAATCAACAATATTGATTGTAAAATGTGCAATTTTTCCCTGTTCATTCAGTTCAATCAGGTTCATTCCTAAAGCCTAAGGCGGTTGTCAGTCTTGGTTTTTTCGCTTCAATTGAATTAGTAACTTTGAGTTTTCTTAATTAACGCTTGCGTAATTTTTATTCGATCAATAATAGCAAAACGCCGTAATTTGGCCGGTAATCTGAGCAAACGAATTTAAATTGGTACATGAAAGAGTTTTTTCAACTAAAAAACCCATTTTGAGACCGATTGGTCGCGATAGCGATCGGTCTTAACATTGGGGGGCTTAACATTTGGGTTCAAAAATTGCTGCCAGCTCCAGAAAAATAACGTGAAAAGCTCCTACGCAAGTTTACCTACATAATCCCACTCTTCTGTATCGGTTTTTGCCAACGAAAGCCCAAAATCAAGTGGTCAGAAGCGCAGAGGGCTTAACGACTAGACCTTGAACGCAAGGTGAATTGATAAGAAATCGATTTGCTTAAATTTTTGTTACTAGGCAGGTATAACGACCCTTGACGAAACCGGCCATAAGATAAGGAAAAATCGTCACATTTGACACACATTTGTTTCAATTACATAATAATTCCGGCCTGGCTTTACGAGTGCTTATTGATTAGATTGCGGCGCTAAATTTAGTCCGTAGTACTATTTCAAAGTCCTCAAAATGAATGCGTGGGAATGCGATAGCAGATTCATCCATTTAACGGAATTTCCCCCCCCAAAAAAAACACCAGCCCTGAGTTATTTTTTTATTATCAGCAACGAAGCTTATCAGTCGCAGGTAAATATCAACATGAAACATGCTCTCTCTGGTCATTGCTCCGGACGTCGATAGGGAAATGCGTCTAAAACTCTTAACTATTACCATCAACAGTGATTAAAGTTCGCCCACATGCAGAAACATTCGTCATGCACCTGTCCGAAAGCCAGATGTGGAGGTCAGGTCTTTTCCAACCCCACAGATTGAAGCAGGTCTTTGCTTGACTTTGCTTTAAGAACCCTTCATCACTAACACCGATTGAATTTTTTTTCAAAACTCTAACTACCGCCTGGAGAAATCTGTGGGAGAAAATTTCGATTAGTCCAGACATTAATTTCAAAATATACACGAAAATTAGTGCATTAGTGAATGAACTAAGAGAACTTACCATCCTTGAAAAATCTTTAGTTGTTGATCGATTTCTATGATTTTTTGTTTTCAGAATCCGTATTCGATTAGTGCATACTCTCAATTTTCACCACGTAAACTTTCATTCAAAAACGTACCATTTTTGGAAAAATACGAAAACATGATGACCGGTTTTGACCTAAATTGGCCTAAGATCCATCTGATCCTATTTTCATTGTAGCTCGGTACTGGTTTAAAAATTGTGTTAAAAAAAATACCGTTTGCAATATTGTCATAAAGACACTTAATTATATTAATTAATCATTGCTCTTAAATCTCTTATTAAACTCTTATTAAAGAAATAATTACAATTTTTCTCATTATTAAGCCGAGATAAAATATAATTTTACAATTTCTATTTAATTCGTCCAAAACCAAAAATTATTTTGATTTTTTCCCCACCCCGTATCGCAAAACAATAAAAATCGATAATGGATTATAGGTAAAGTAGGTACATTTTGACAATTTGAAAACGTGTATGCATATTTGTTGAAATTTTACTAGTCACTCTATTGCATTTTTTAAACTTAGCTTCTACACTTTGCTCATTTTTTCAACTTTGCTTTTATTACTTGAGACAGTGATTTCCACATTTACAAGGTGTTTAAAAAAACATTTTACAGAAACAAAGTTTACATCTTGTGCTCAAAGTGTATAAAAAAATCCCCTTTTTATCTTATGGTTTTCCAACTGTAGCGTCTTCTAATTTAAAAATTTAAATCACAAATTTCTGTAATTTATTGAATTGAAAAAATTAATTTGCAAAAAAACTATGAATATTGAAAGCACTTGCTAGTCGAATAAGCAATTTCAACACCTAAATCAGAAAAAACGATTCATTGAAACTGATCAAGAAATATAGAATTTACAGAGGTGGAAAGCTCATCACGATACACTGTATGAAATGATTAATAATTTAAGTAGGATTAAAAATGAAATTAGTCTAAAGATTTCAGCTTTACTAATGGAAAAAGACGTCACAACTTAGGGGTCAATAGATTTTTTTTAATTATACATGGTGTCCCGTAAGCACCCGATCAACAATGTACAGCAATTTTGGCTAAAAAAACGATCTGGACTAACTTTTATTCAGAAAAAATGTCTGGCCCTCTGCTGTTGATGGTCAAAGTTCTTTAAAAAAATTTTTTTTTGCTTTGCTGGGCTTTGTAGTTTTTTTGGATTCAGAATAGAAACGGTCTCTAGTCTCGGATGGCTCTAAAATGTAGCGTACTCGCAAAAATCTATTTGAAATTAAAAGTTTAAACTATTGAAAAACCGTGCCAAAGATCCATCTTTAAAGAGCCCTTGGGAATAATTTTGACAAAAAACAATTTGGGTCAAATCCACATGATTTCGCTTGTTGAAAGCGAAGGATCTTTCAAGGAAAAGGTGCAGAAATTGAAAAAAATCAATCTGTATGGTGAACGCAACTAATTATTCCAAACCGAAGAACCGACTCGGAGAATTTCGAATAAATTTCACCGTTGCCGAACAGGTTTACCAATTGTAGAAATGTCAAGAAATGAGACTATGTCGAGAACGGCCCGAAAAAAAAAAGACGGTGAAGCAATTCGCTTCAGTTGTTTTGCTGCATGCGTAACAATGCCGATTATCGCTTTCAATTATCCGGGTTTTAATCCATATACAGGGTGTGAGTAAGAGATTTGAGTTTTTCGCGTGAGCCCAATACTGTCTTAAGATGAAGAAAATTTAAACAATGTTCAGCGGCACCTTGGGTGAGGTCTCTATATTTAGAAACCGTTTTCCCAATGACTTTTTGACCGGGAACTACTTTTAAATCAGCCAGTTATGTGTGTTTCGACGAGTGACATTCGAGACTAATTATTATGCTCCACGGGCCCGCCTAATGAATAACGTTCCCTTTTAAATAACTTTTACCGAGTTCCAGGAAGTCTTTCCCGGTGGCGATCGGTGCCAAATTATCTGAGCGATTTCAAGGTAGCTTTCAGTTGGGAAAACAGGAGCAGTTGTAGTAAAAGTCTAGAGAAAACCTTGTCCCGACCGGCTCATTCTCGGCTATTAATAAGACCGAAGTAACGTTTGCACTTATTCAATTTTTACTTTAATAAATTGCTGTGCCGAAAATAATTTTTTGGCTAGGGCTGGTGCATTCCGTTTATTGTAATTTTAATCTTGACCTTTGGGAAAGTTCTGGCGCTTTTACGTCCGGCCAAGTGAAAGTAGCAAGGCAAATTGGCGGAAAACTGCTAGTTTTCATTCGAACTTTTTGAGCAAAATTTAAGATTTTTACCGGGGGTAAAATCTTTCGCGCTCATTCTACTATCGAGCTTCGACTATTATCTCGGTTTGTACACAGAATACTTGAAATTTATAGAAGTTTAATTTCCGCACCATACAAGTTCGTCGAATATTTCAATAGATCGTTGCATATTTTCTTGAATTTTCCAAGCGTGCAAGTTCCACGAATCAGTGCCGAACCGGGAAACACATCTAAAAAATGGTGTTGGCATTTACAAGAAACTGATCGAAGTCGACTACACCGTAAGAATGAATGGTAACGTGCAACCTTGAATTTTATTCTGATGTTCATTTGAATTACAATACGATTTGCATAATTTCGCGATTCCGCCGTCTGGCGGTTCGTGGTATATCGAACATTCGCGCTCAGTGGAAAAAATGCAATAAGACATACGCTGAAGCCCATTAGGCCCTTGAGCAGCAAATTTCCGACA